AGCAGGACTGTGAGAATTATGAACTCTTGAAATCAATAGAAATGGGAAGTCCTCCACATCTCTCATAGCTACCCTCAATCAAGTGAAGGGCTATTGGGAAAAATAAGAGATTTAATTTTTTTGAAGGTAGGAATTACACGCAAAAACTAAATTTTGATTCTAATCTTCCTACACTTGTAAGCCTTTCTGGAACCAAGGGGCACAGCAGAGACAACCATGTATTTAGCAGCTTCTATCTTCACTGTGCATACTGAGGTTCTTGCAGCTTCATTTTTGGATGTAAAGGGCTAAAATCATCACCTATACTTTCAATGCTACAACACAATGAAAAACATAGGGATTTTAGCACTTTTCCTCATTTTATTTTGCTTATAGCAATTACTCATTTAAATCAGTGATCATGAAATTACCTAATGTAGATTATCTACTTCAAGATATTTAGACAAGTGGATTATCAAAAATATATCCATTAAAGCAATCATTAAAAATGCTCAAATTTTAATTTCAGAGTTCTGATTCTGAATTTCAAGGATGTATCTAGGAAAGATTCAATAGAAATATAGGAAAAAGGTGGAGAGAGCTCCTTCAGAGAAATATGCAAGTCCTTCTCAGTTCTAAATGTCATCCCCATTCATACATAGATTATATTCTCCCTGTAACTGAGAAGTAAAGAACTAGTCATGCAGAAAGGAGGGACCTGACTGATCACTTATCTTGCACAAACTACTTTTTCTTTTTCTATGTCCACTAATTTACAGATAATAGAACCACTAACTACTCTGAGCTTTTTCAGTGATCCACAGAAATGAGCCCAAAATGGACCATGGGCACCTCACAGAGGGTGTCACAGCACTGAGGACTTTGGCACTTCCGAGAATGAAGTATCTTGCATGAAGTGGATTTTTAGCATTTTCTGCTAAGGCAATATCTCCAAATCATGTTTTTATTTTTTAAACAGGGTTTATTTGGTAAGTTTGATTGTTTGCCAAGACATCACAGGCCCAACGTTCATGTAAGGATGAGTACATAGAATCATGCTCCAATCCAGATGACCTGAACAGAAAAGTCATGTTTCCCTGCCAAAGTTATGTGATATCTTAGAAGACATGGACAGTTTTTAACAGAGAAAAATATTGACTGTATTCTACCTTTTCACAGAGGGAAAGCACAGTCCCAGCTTGGATTATTGCAACTTGTTCTTCATTTCTCAAATTCTATAATACAAAAAGATGCATTTTAAATTGGGTTAAAAATCCATCCCTTAACACAAGCAATAAATTTTAACTGTACTTCAAAAAAATCAATCATTTATAACATTGAGGATTATAGACATGACCAATAAGAATCCCATAAATGAAGGTATTAAAAATTAAACCAAGGGTGCTTAGTTTCCACTCTACTTCAGTATACCCACCTCCCCAACACTTGTGTAACAGTTCATTTTTCAATGAAAATCAAGGGGTTTCTATCAGAGATTTTGATTATTTTTTTCCACTAGGCAGAAAAAGGCCTGTTCACTGGACTATGGCTGTGCAACAAGTGAATCTCCTCTTTGTGCATGTCAGAGTTAGACTTTCCATTAACAAAAACAATGCAAATAACAACTACCATAGAATCCTCCACAGAAATGTCAACATAACATGTAAATCTAAGACTCAAAACTAGTATTATGAAGACCTCAATCTGTTAAATCTAGCTATAAACTGGCCCCAGCTCCCTGGATGTTAGTGCCCCAACTGTGACCAAGATTTTATATGTATTTGGCAATACAGAGGAAGAAAGGGAGACAGTTTTCCTTGCCTTTACTCCCAGAAAGTCACTCCTGGCAGAGATAGCCTTCACACTAGCAGGTGCTCCTATTATACTCAAGAGGGAAAATTCACAACTTGGTCTGGCCTTCAGTTCTGTTTCATACCTTTTTAAATTTCCTTTTATATCTGGTCTGTTTTACAACTGTTTTATATCTATTCCCTCTGCCTACTACAGTGCCTTTTTTTCCATGTCATTCAGTCAAGACCAAACCCAAGCTTGAAAAAATGCATTTTTCACTAGCATCAGTTTAACTGAAGGATTTCAAGTTTGTAAAAGCTAAGCATTCATAACTTCCATACAAATATAGGCACATAAAAATCACCCTGTGCATTTTCTTGGATGTTATTATTTGCTGTAAGGAAAAAAAAGTGCTTTAGATTAATCATAGAACTGGAGGTATATTTAAAATTAAAAATTTTTTACCCCATTATCTCCAAGAATATCTAGCTTCTTCATAAGTTCAGATATATTCACATCCTGAAAAAGATGTTCAACACTTACTTTTTATAAAGGAGGTGAGAAACAGCTTTTATATGCTGCATTTTATGTACCCTTTATTCACTTCTGCATGCAAAAAAACTTCAAACGTAAATAAGTGAAGCATTGGGTTTGCATCATAATTACAAAAGTGCTACTGATATTTTCAAAGACAACACCAAATATCACTCAATTATAGCAAGCAACCTGGATGCCTATGCATGAGGGTAGAATGGTCCTGTTGTATTTGCACTTATCATCCTGATAAAGTGTGTAGAGAGATCAAAACTGATACAAGCCTTAAAAACTGTTGGATTTTTTCGTTTGTTTGGAGTGGAGCATCAACCACATCAAGCTACAGAAGTTAAAAAGGATAAAGAGGACTATCAAAATAATTGCTAAGAAGGTTTTCCTCATGGTCTGCTTTTTATTCTTTGCTAAACAAAAGTATGGAGATTCAAATCAGCCATAGAGTGGCAGAAGGGAATGTGTGCAGTGGGATGAACATGCTCCTCCAAACACTATCAGCTCAGAACTTTTGTGAGTAGAAAGCCTCATTTCCCTGCCCCTCAACTCTCAGATCCACAAAAAACAATCAACATCCCATCCTTACTAAGGGCCAGTCACTGAAATAAAAAAACCCAAACATTCCTCTGATCAAAAAAAACCCAAGAAAGAGAGGAGTAAGTTCACCGTGCCAGGGCCCATTCCTAGGCCCCAGAACTCTTATTTTCTACTTTACAAAGTTGTTGGAAAGGGTCATGGAACTGTTTAACCTGTGCCAATCACATTCTCCTGAACTCTCCCAAGTATGGGCCACAAGTTAATGTGGATCAGGGATCATTTCCACTGACAGCTTCTAAACAGCTGTGCTATTTGCAGGTAGGAAGGCTTGAGAGCATGGGAAAAGACCAGTTCATGTCAGCCCAAAATGCTTAATACACACACATAAAGCAAGACAGCCTTTTTAAATGTTGGCACCCTCAACTCCTACTCATATTCAGCACTGCTTAGAAGAGGAAAATGTTTCTCCAGGCCATGTCTTGGTTCACTAGTTTCATTGCTTCCAGTACATAACATGCTGCTTTGTGTCTATGTGTTGTGCAACTGCATTATGTCTGTAGTCAGAATGACCAATCTTGACCATTTTTTAAAGCTCAACTAACTATGCTTGCAAATTACACAGCTACACCAGAATCTATTTGCTCACAGTAATATACTCAACAGGCTCCAGTGAGGAAGGCTCAATAAGAAATGAAAGATTTCCTGAAGACTGGACACAGATGTGGAAGAGAATCTGCAAATTAGTCCAATAACGTGTTGTACTGATATCATCCTGAGGAGTGCCCTCCCTCTCTTCCATCTCTCTCCAAACACTTCAGTGGTGTTCCCAAATGCTACATTAACAATTTAACGGTGCCCATCACTGATTCTAGGATGGTGTGGATCATAATACACTTGTGATCAGATTGATGTTAAAAAACCCACTCTTGATTATGACCAGCATGGACAATAATGAACAGAAATTTCTTTAGCTGACCAGTTACACTAGTGAAAGAATGGAATTCACTATGACATGCAAGCTCTTATATCTATTGACTCAGAAATAGTCATTATAATTCATTGATTTCCATGATGAAGAATAAAGGAAGATTAGAAACCAAACCAGATTTTGCAGCATTCTGGAATCTACTTTGCTACTGATGCCTAATGATTTTGAAAACCATTGAAAACAGATAAAAGGTCAACAATTTCAGTATGTTCATATTAGGTGACTGCCCCTCCTTCCAGGTAAGCAAACTGAAAGGCAGATGGAAAAGAACACCACTGTCAAGGAGTGTCACATAAGACAAAGGATTCCAGGTAAGCAAACTGAAAGGCAGATTGAAAGAACACCACTGTCGAGGAGTGTCACATAAGGCAAAGGAAAAAAATGTCTGGATCCTAGGTAAGCAAACTGAAAGGCAGATGGAAAAGAACACCACTGTCAAGGAGTGTCACATAAGACAAAGGAAAAAAAATGGGAATTCTGGATCCTGCTACACTGTACTTGCGACAGCCAACATGCAATTAGAGTAACAGACAAGCTAAAAGCAGGTCTGACATCCCAGGGAGGTTCTATTTAAAAGGTAATATGCTAAGTGATGACTCTTGGTGTGGTTTGGGAGATGAGTATCTGACCAAAAACTGTAGGTAAGAATCAGGTTTTATTTTCTTCCTTTAGACTACTCAACTTTCTAAAAATATGCAGCCTACAAATCCAGTATATTTCCTCTACAGATAACACTGTACTCATTAAGGCACTGAATAGCAACAAGAAGACTGGTAAGTAATATGCTAAGTGATGACTCTTGGTGTGGTTTGGGAGATGAGTATCTGACCAAAAACTGTAGGTAAGAATCAGGTTTTATTTTCTTCCTTTAGACTACTCAACTTTCTAAAAATATGCAGCCTACAAATCCAGTATATTTCCTCTACAGATAACACTGTACTCATTAAGGCACTGAATAGCAACAAGAAGACTGGTAAACACAATTCCTCATTAAGGCACTGAATAGCAACAAGAGGACTGGAAAACACAATTCAAAATGTGAGCATAAAGCACTAGCAAGTGGCACTAAGATTATGCTTCATTTACTTTTAGAAAAGTTGCTCTGGCCTGTTGTGCCACATCACTGACAACACAAGTCTGAATTCAATCTGAAGTGAACCAGCATGCAAATCAAGCTGCACAGCTAGTCTGTTCATGGGGGAACAGAAGTGAAAAGAATAACACTTGCTTCCTGATAGCAGAAGTTAACCAAGGGAGATCCCAATGTTTATCTTGTGCTTGTTCTAAAATGAGGAGAGCTCCACCTATCTCAATGAATTTTGGATCAGGCTCCTCATGCTTCAAAGTCCTGACCTAGGCAAATAAATCAACAATCAACAAACAAAATGCTTCACTAAATTGGCTGTAAAGTGATAGCTTAGTGTCATCTTTCTCAACTTAGATGAAAACATTTAATAACAAGAACAATGCACTGCAGCAACCCTGATGATAATCACATCAACATCCACATTCTTCCCTAGACCAAATGTAAATTATTTTGACTGACCAGCCTTCGTTTTCACTGAGGAACTCCTGACAAACTACCAGAATATATTATGAAGCCCATTCCCCAGTTAAAAATATCTTTACTTATTACATTTCTTTTTTCACATTTTCTTCCCTGGCAAATGGCAAACCATTTGTTTAGATATTGAGTTGGTCATTCCAAAGAATTTCCTAGCCATCCAACTGTTGCTGATGCTCTGCATATACCTTTATTCCTTCTTGGTGACAGAACAGTTGAAGTGCACTTCCATTGTTTTCAGGGAAGGTGGTTATATGAAGATTAAATGCTGGCGACCTTCGCTCTCTCTCCTGAGGAAAGATTTTGTTTAAAAACAACATGTGTGATTATAAGTAAATATTTATTTCCCATCTTTACAAAACATACTTGTATGTTAAAAAGGCAGAGTCCTAATCCCGTTGTAAATATATGGTATTTCCTCTTACTTTTACCATATTTAAAGGATTTTGGATTTAGCTAAATGCAAAAATGGTGTTAGCTGCCAACTAATTCCATGCACAGTTTCTGCAAAGTTACCTGACACTCCTCAGCTGCAGGAATCCTTGCAAAACTGGCCCTAATTGACAGGAGCCCTGAAATTCTCTGCAAGTTTTTATGTTGATTATAACCTTGCTTAACTATCACTTTCTTTCCTGGAACAAAAAAACCCTACAATCTCAGAAGAAACTGCAGAAAAAAATCTTAAACTCCATCACGAAATAGTTATTAGCACTGAAGATTTTCTCACTAAAATTCAAGCTGTGTATCTAATCTGTGTTTATTCTCCAGTCAGCCTCCCTACCAGAGCATTTAAAATCCCCATTCCCATTCACTGCACAGCCCAGGATGTCAGAAAATGGTGAAAGGCAGCACTATATATTCTACAGTTAGGATGTTCTTTGTGCCAAAACTAAAAATTATAAATTCCCATTTATCTAAAACTATGCTATTTCTAAAACTTATCCAGTCCATCCACTTGACTTGCAGGCATTTCTTAAAAATACCAATTCTTCAGAAGAAGGAATACAGTAAAACAATGAACAAGCAAATTTACTTCAATTTTAATGTGCTTGTGAAAGTTACTGGATTGAAGACTCTGGACAACCAAACCACTAGGTCTTACTCTAAATTCTCTCTGGCCCTGGGAGCATGAGCAAAGAGCCCCAAATTTCATCTCCATATTCTAAGAGGAGGCTTTGGCAACAAGACCTTCATTTTCTGAGGGAGAGAGAACTACAGCTAATATTTTAGTTCCTATGACCATCCATGTGTTGCTCCATTTGCTGAACCACAAAACAAGGCACTTTTATTGCTATGGCAGGTGGGCTGCATCCATTCACTGAAGCAAGCTACAAAGCATGGAAAATCTTGCTCATTAACTAGGTTAAACCTAATTTGAAACAACAGTGTAGAAGGAAAATTCTCCATAGTCTATAAATTCTCCCCCTCACAGCCTTATTTTAAATAATACTTACATTCACAGTCTAATTCTGAAATGGGCTTAAATGACTTAGCTGTTGTAGCCCAAGACCATAAACTAACTTCTTGTCCAAATTCAGTTATCATTTTATATATTGTTAAATCTTATTCAGTTGCTATTACATTAAACTCACTTAAATTTGCTTGCATTAAATGCTAAACAAATGACTATGTTTTCTACTTTAGCCTAACCTTCAAAGATAATTTAAGTGCTCTAAATTATTACCCAAAGCACTATTGGCTTTCCTAAAGCCTTTCATTGTCAGTCACATTTGTGTCTCCATGCTTGCCTACTGCAGAAAAAAAATCTTTTCTTGCAATCATACAAAAATAATTCCATTGTTATTCTGTGAAACAAGTTTTTAAAGCTTTGGCACATGACAAAACTCAACATGTCACACTGAGTTGCTTTTGACGTGATTCTTCCATGTGAAAAATACATTAATGAAGGATGTACTGGAGAACATTTGTTCTTTTCCCTAAGTAATTTTTTCAGATTGTTTTACTTTTAACAATGCTTATACTTTAGGAAGCAGTTCCTAGTGTAACTGCCAATTCACATGCTAAATTGTTCTGTATTTGACTTTACAGTTCTTCAATAAAATATAAAGATATGGATTAGAAAGCATATTTATTTTTCTGAACATCTGCTGAAATTCTAATAACCTCAACTCATAATTTTTGAATACAATGGGCTATGACAGCAAAACATATGGTGGATAAAGGATGAAATAAAAGATTAAGAAATGCCAAAGAGGAAAAGGAGGTCCATGTAACAGGAAGACATGACATTCTCATCTTTATCAATGAAGTTACACATGCCAAGATTTTTGGTGAAACATGCTGGGTGATAAACACTATGGAGGAGTGACAATGACAGGTTTCTTGGAGAGTTTATTCTAGGCAGTGTTAAGAATGCTGATGATCTTTGAAACTCAAAGTGTCTCCAGGCAATACAACCATGTGACACCTGTGCATCACGCACAACTAGTTCAGTGCTACTAAATTTGACATGAGCCCAATTTATTAGGTGAGGAGAACCATTGCTTTCTACTGTAACCACAGGCTACATGTTCAACTTGCTATTAACAAATAGTTTTGTTATTTTAATTTATGCAAAGTATAGAACTTGTTTGCTCTAGGCTACATATTACTGTCACATACAGAAGTTGTACTTGTGCTTCACCACTCTGACATTGTCAGAAGGTTTTGGGTTTTTTTCTTTTTTTTTTTTTTGATTGAGGCCAATTATTTCCAGCCCATGCCCGTTTTATACCATCAGAAAAGGGACTTCAGGTAAGAGGAATTCTTTAAAAGCTGCTACAAAAATGTGTTATTTAGGATAAATTTACTTCATATCAATGTTGCCAATCTTAAACCAATGCAATTTAAAGCAATTATACATTGATGTGATGGATGTGTCAGATCTTTAGTGAGACCACTGCATGCAAGATGTGAGAAGGTGTGTTAATTTGATCAATGCCAATCAAGGCTGTAGTATACATACCAAGTGATTTTGCATGCAGGAAAGGAGCAGTTATGGAAATGAAACAAATAAAAAAGGCAAAATATTGCAAAACAAAATATTTTATTAGATGGAAACCAAACTATATGCAATTTATATTAGCTATATTACATCTTTATAAACATTAGTGAGCATTCTCTCCAAAACATATTAAGGCAGTGGCATCAATTTCATTATCCCAAGATACAACATTTAAAAAATAGGTACCTAAGTCACTTCCCTTAAACATGCACCAGACATCAGTAATCTTTACAGGAATTTCAGCTTGGGTTCAAACATAATTTCTGCTCCATTTGAGAGTTTGCAACAGAGAGAATCTCTTACTTCAAGCTCTAGCACTCTGAATTCTAATAGCTCATTCTGGTCTTTTGCATCTTGCATCTCATTCTTCAGCTGATGCTCTTCTTGCTCCATCCTGTAAATCTATGAGATAGACACAACACCGTAACACCCTGTAAGCTCTAGAAAAGATACTACATAGAGTTACAATCCAGGGCTTTAGCCAAAATTTTTATTTCAGTTTCTCATTAGACATTGGGCCATATCTTGGACATAAAGAAGGGACATCATATCAGAAAGTATTTTTGAGAACTGTCAGAAGCAAATGGTCAATGGTCTCTTAGAATAGTAATCTGGAAGCAGTATGAAAAGTTATATGAGTATTATATCTAAATATGTTAAGTGATACAAGTTGTCTTTTAAAATCAAATGAATGAAACTGGCTTACATAAACATTTGAGTAGACTGTTCTCATTGTCTTTGCATAACCAGATTCTACTCTTTACAGTACATGAAAGACAATAATGGAAGGGGTTTCATGTCTACTTTTAAATTTCCCAGAATTGTGCCTTGGAGCACTAACAATGACAAAATAGAAATTCAAAACTGACTATTAATTTTGCCAACTAATAACTTCGGTCACCTGTCTAGTTTAACTGGGTGATCTTTGTAGGAAACTAAAGTGTAACATCTGGAATATTGTACTATAACATTTATGATACCCATCTAAGTGTCCAAATAAATAATCTGGTTGTAGCTACTTTTAGTCATGATTTTTTCTTATCTTATTCCTATTACATCAATATTAAGCTACTAATTAACAAAATTAATTAAAGCTTGGAAATTCCTGAGTACTAGCAAACTTTCCCACCAGGGTCAATGAAGAGTAATACAGACGCTCAGCTCTGAGTATCTCAGACAGTAAATACAGTAAGTCTTAAACCATTCAGTATTGCTTAATTTGTGAAAAACTATAAAAAGTGGAAGACAATTTTGTTAGTGATCAGGACAATAATAGTCTTTCTGCAACTGTATGCTTTGTTGGACACCAGAAACATCAGCCAGCTTGAGATCTACTGCTGGCTACACATGAAATTCCACAATAAAGAGCAGCTTCCATTCCTGAAGAGTATAAAACCATATTTGTGCTTCAATTAAAGAGTGAGACTTTTATCTGAATTTCTGTTTCTGGCAAGAATCAAAGTAAGCAATTTCATGTTGATGTTTCAGTACTTAGTAGATTCAATTTCATTTACAATAAAGAGCAGTAGTGGTGAAAATATTCCCACGTACCTTCTCTAGCAACTCCTGATTTGTTCTAATTAACAGCTGTTTTTCTTCTACCCATTTTGAATCCTATGGGGAAGAAGAGGATTAAAAAGATATATTTTGTAAAACAAGACAAATGAATGGCCACAATAATTAGAAGATTTCAGACATCATTGTACATTCAAGTATCAAAATGGTCACACATTGAAGAACAAAACTATCCTAAATTTGTCAAGGGTATATAACAGTGAAAAGTACAGTGAAAATACAAGTTCCTTTCATTTCCTGTAGCAGAATCTCTTGTTTCATAATATGTTCCAACTAAACATATACTTTCAAACCTTTACATGTAGCAATTGTGGGTAACCACAGATACATGATATTTTATGTCATTTTAGAAACATTTATATACTCAGCTGAAGTCAAAATTAATTCTTTCCATTGCAAAGGTTTGGGAACTTTCTTGCAAAATCATCCCATTTTGAGTGGTGTAATGCAAATCACAAGGGAGAGAGGGAAGAAAAATATTTATTTACCCCAAATAACTGAAAACAAGCTTCAGCAATTACCCCCTGATAAAAATGTGAGAATCCAACTAATACACAGTGTTTGTGACAAGGAATTCAAGGCTATGGGAGAAGGGAAGTGGTATAAGACATTCTATACTCCATTTGAAAACTATAGTTTTAATTGTTCACTTGCCCCAAAGCTGAACATTCCTTTCAGGCTTTTTTTTTTCCATGGATTCAAAAGGCCTCATTGAATACCCCAAGCTACAAAAACTCACTGCCAGCCATAGCTGGGCATTCAGATTTCAGGGATCATAACAGCTAAATTCACTCTGCTCTTCCTGTAGAGAAAACTATTTACATAACCTATCTCATGCTGCTCTAAATAGAGCCATTAAATAGCTTTGAAATGTCAACCAAAAAATCGAAAACATTATGATATATATCTACTCCAATTAGCATGCAAAAAAAAAAGTTTTAAGTTAGCTTTTCTATCTCCTGTCCTCTACATAGTGTTCTTTCTCCTTTTCCCACTTACTTGCAAAAATGCACAAGTGCATCTTAGCTTTCATGTGATAAACAAGCTCTTCAGGGTTGTGATGCTATAAGAATAATATACTAAAGTAAGTACTGAAAAGGCATTACATTTGTCAAGAATTTTTGAAACAAATGAAAGAAACATTGATAAAAAAAAAGTCAATGTCTAGTTTAACATTTGACTAGCATTTCACTAAGGTCAAGGAATGAACAGACTGGCACACACAGACTTAGGGTAGGTATCCCAATAGATGGACATGGTAAAAAGCAGGTTCACAGTTACTTCAGACCTGCAGGTTCAACTGCTTTGGTTCACATGAGTAGAAAAAACAGATTAATTTGCCCTAATGAAAATTAACTTTTGTGTCTTTCTTGATGAAGTCCAGCTCAACTTTCTGAGAAAACCTGAACTCCAGAGGAACTATCTTTACACACCAGACCACAGAGAGCTGAGCATTCATCCATCTGGCAAATTATGTACTCCAATTATTTTATATTTTTTATTTACCATTACTGATGTTTTATGAGAATTTCTTCACTTTATATAAAGTTTCTTATGCATGCACCTCCATGTACCTTGCAGAAATGGATTATTAGTTTTATTTTACTTCTGGGGGAACACTGACAGATGCAGCAAAAGAGATTAACAAGAGCCATTGACAGTTGCTCTGAAATTACACACAGATTGTTATAAACCAAGCTTCACATCATTTTATTAACAATCAGATTCTAATCTCTTGCTCTGAATTTGGCTTCAGGAAAATTTTTCATGTCTTTGATGCTTCTTTTTCCTAAGGCTGTGAAGTAAGACTAAAATTTCCTGGGATAATACACTTGGATCTTTTGATTCATTGTTTCCTTTGCAAAAGCACTTTAGGGCCTGGCTCCCCAAATGAACAGTTCACAACTATTATGATATCATCATCACTACCATGACCATCTAAATGACAAATAATAAAATAAATTAAAAAAAAATAAATCACATAGTGCACAATGAATTCAGTTTATCATCACAACCATTTATTTCGTTGAACGTAAATACTAACAGGTCAGGAGAACTAAGCAGGTGCTAGAGCTCCCAGGAAACACTGTGACCCCTCTGTGGAAATTCAGAGGAAAACTGAAGCTCAACATACAAACCAGCCCACTGTCCACCTTCTCAGGATTACTAAGAGGTACAAGGTTGAAAACGTGGTTCTGAATCTCAAATAACTAATTAAATTCTAATTTCCAGGTAAACCTTTATGACATACTGCTCTAGGAGCAAAATCACAGAAATCACTCCTTACATGGATATCTGAGTTCATCTATCTCATTGAAACACACAGTACTTACAGTATACACTGAAACAGTCAACTATTTTGGTAATGTTTTCAACTACACAGCAATTTGCCCATACCACCTTTCTCATCAACACACCAAAATATCAACAGCAGATCCTCCAGAGGTCTTCAGTTTCATTTATTCTTCCCAAAGCTCAGTAAGCCATCGTTTTTAGGTTGATAACATATTCTCTGTTTTTAGTAATATTGTATTTACATGGAATTCACTAAGCAAAATGCAATTTGTGTGGGATATAGCATAATTTTTTTTCCTTAATTTGAATGCAGTCCCCAAACTTTTGCATTTAGACAGTTTCACAGAAAACTGTTCTTACAAAGAATAAACCATAAAAATAGTGATATCATTCACTTGGCATCATTTGTAGGTTGGTTTTGTTCAATGCTACAGCATCGTCAGTCATTGACATGTATATCTATAAATAGTTTTATCTTATCGCCATAAGCTACCTGCAATCTTAAAACTCTAAGTTCAAACAAAAAAAAGCTTAAAATAACATCCTCATTTCCTCAGCGTGTTCAGCCAGTTGTGCAGCTGAGTAACTTGCTCATAACTCTTCATCAGAATTCCTGAAGGCCTTAGACTATTAAATATGTATCAGTAGCCACATCTTTGTCAAGTATTTGCATCTATTATATATAGTGAGGCATGAAGTCTGATTTTGTGGGATGCTTTGGGAATTTGAAAGCAGTTGAGTCCTCCAAGAATTTAAACCCAGGAGAGTAACACCACAAGTGGCTTCCAGTAACCTGATACACTCAGTGGTTCATTTCTCTAGTTAGAGCATGTCTAGAAGTGATTTTTTTCTTTAAGAAACAAATTTCTATGCTACACACCAACAATATTCTTCAGTACAAATATAGAATATTTATTTTATTGGAATTTATAACAAGTATAAACAAACTGGAAAACAAAAGTCCTTCACCAAATGACAATGGGAACGGAATTTATAATGTATCTACACATGGTTATTTCACTATTATGCTTTAGTGTATTATGGGTTAGAAAGCAAATCTGTAATGACATTTTCTTAGACTATAAAATCCTTCCCTCTATTTAAGCATCCTATTGCTGCAGTGGCAATTAAGCTGCATCATTCACAGGAACACACCAGCAAGCAATGAAGATGGCAAGGGCACCACTGCATGCAATGGAGAAAATGATGTGGTAGAGGACATTAAGAAAACCTTTTACCTGTCCTTTTTCGATCAGAGCTTTCTCTAGGTCCTCAATTTTTGCCTGACACCTGAGAAGATCAGTTTGCAGTTGTTCACGAGTCTGGGGGGAAAAAAATTAATCAAAATCTGTGTTTATATGCGTGCACATCCAGGTAGACAGGCAGATTGAACCACACACAGAATCAAAGTAAAAATAATTTCTACTGCTTTATGGGATGTCCAGTCAGACTTTAATGCTTTTCATTAAAAGAATTTCTTTTGTGTTTAGGTTACAAAATATTAAAGCTGTCAGTTTAACAGAATTTTTCATTCCTAGCCTAAAGAGATGTTATCACATTTTCAGTGACAAAGCTCTTCCCAAGGGTAAAAAAAATAATCTAGGAACCAAAAGAGCTCTAAGAAGCTATGCATAGGCTTTAGTAATTCAGAAATAAAAGGGACAAGAGAGAAAGAGAATTGCATTAAGCACTGAAAAGGCCTTTAGGTAAATAAAATATACACTGACCCAAAATAATTTATATATCCCTGATCAGTTTTCTTCATTCTACATAATTATTATAGATTATATAACACATTAACTATTACACTACAGTAGGTATTACCCCCTGAGTCCAGTAATGCCCTAAAAGGGATTGGGTCATACAAGGTATTATGCAAAAAAAGATATAAACCACAGCATGTTTCTTGAGACTTTCAGTCACTGAGGCTTCTTAAGCTACTGCAAGTACTTTGCCTTCGGGTACCTCACTTCAGGTACTCTTCCCCCCAAACAGATAAAATCCTACAGGCATTTCCTTCTACATCTTTGACTCCTTGTTGTTTACCTTGAGCCTCACCTAAAAGTAATAGGAAATGTTCATCTCAGCAGAATATTGGGCCCTACAAAATAAACCATGTGAAAACCTACTTTCTGACTCACTCGGAATTTGGATTTGCAGGGATGGGACAAAAGAGACCAAAATGCCATTAAAAAGAAATAGCACCAATTTCAGTCTGCAAAATGGACAGTTTGCAAATGCCTGCTAAATAAAATGTTAAAAAGCCCACGAAGGCAAAGAAAATATATAATGGTCTCTCATAAGTGGCAAATAGATGACTGCCCCTGAAATTTTACTTTAATAATAGCTGGAATTTTGCCCCCTGTCCCAGTTCTGTCTTGAGGAGTGATCTCCAAGTCCTTATTGCTTTCCTTGGCTAAATGTCCTACTTAAAAAAGTCAAATGTGACTAGATTTTTGTAAGATGCTGCGAAGTCTAACACCTAAAGCCATAAAGCAATAATTCTACTATTATAAGAACTATATTTCACAAGAAAAAAAATTACAAAGAAAGAAATTTAGGTTGGTTGTGAGCCCCTTCAAAGAACCATGAAAAAAACCCAACCTAAACATAAATTTGACACACTTTAAAGTAAACCCTGAACCTTCTAAATACAGGTTCTGGGGGTAATAGACTAACATCTTTAGCTGGAGGTAACTCCAGATAATGTCAAGCAGTCTACATTCTGTTGTAACTTTTATCTGGAAAGCTTTCCTTATCACTAACGCATAGAAATTCTGCTCCCACATGCATATTGTTTCTACACCTGAAAATAGGACATTTTAAAGTCCACTCAGTAAGTGAACTTTAAAATGTTTGCCAAAGATGTGGATGATCTAGCACACGTCTGGCTAATAACCATTCGCAACATAGACTTTTGTGAATATTTTATTAATTGTTGTAAGCTTTGAAACCATTAAACTTGTGGCAGCTTCTAACTATAATATGAGTCCTATCCCACCAGTAATTTTTAAACCACATGGTCACAGCACCAAGCCTGAGAGAGTTCAAGAAGCATTTGGGCAACGCTTTCGGGTACATGGTGTGATTCTTGGGAATGTCCTGTGCAGAGCCAGTTGGGCTCAATGATCCTTGTGGGTCCCTTCCAACTCTGAATATTCTGTGATTCTGAAGTTATTTCACATCTCCCCAGTTAGTTTGGAAAAAAGAGACTGGAAGATGCTAGAATGACTCTAACCGACCTCATCTCTGAGCCATTAAATGGTAAAACACAGCAGAGGGAGAAGGGCAAATTCTCTCTCTCACCTGAAATACCCATAGTACAGAGACCACTGTGAGGATAAGAACATGTATATCAGAGAGAGTAAACTCTCACACATGGTGATCTAATAGGAACAACAGTTAACTAAGTGCTTTTTAGTGAAAGAATAAGCCCATTCTGTGATTTTTAAAAACAAATCATGATTTCATATATTTGGCAGAACACTGCAATTAAAACTATCTTTTTCAGATTTGGGTCAGATATTTAATATATTCCTATGATGAAAGTACCTAAGTACTTATAACAACCTATCCTGGGATTCATTTAAAATCCATCATGTCCCTATCCAAATTGCAGGCTCAACTGGGATATAACTCTCAATAACACTGTCTTACTACCAAAATCTTTAATATGCATGCTAGGATAAATATAATCATATATTTGTTCGGATTGCACCAGATGAATCTAAATTGTCACCTTATGGATGATATCCTCTAATACTCAAAAACATTGTGCTTTGCATTTCACTGACCTACAAAGATACATCCCACAATCACAAGTCGTTTCAGTTTTTTCAATTATTTCAGAGTTAAAAGAAATTTCAGTCAAAAAATTACCCTTGCTTCTCTCTCTGCATCCAGGGTTCCACCAACTTGTTCTTGAAGCAATGCATATGCTCTTTGCAAAGCTTGATATTCTCTTGTTAGCTGGCAGAACCTTAGTTCAGCTTCTTCTTTAGGCGTGCTCTTAACCAAGAGAGGAAAAAAGTCATTTTGTATAAATATGTATGATAATGAGTTTGTCTATTAGACAGACTCAAACACAACAAACAAAATTCATACTGAGTCTTGAGGTTTAATAAAGGTTTAAAATACTAAAACAAGTGGAAAGGGAAGGAAGGATGATGAGTGACTGTCTACCTTACAATTTCAGGACAGGGTAAGTTACTATATAAGGCAGCAATGTATAGAAATGGGAAAAAGATCTGTCTGGGGAAAGATGATTCCCAGGGAGTGGTGGAGTCACCATCCCTGGAAGTGTTTAAGAGGCATCTGGATCTGGTGTTGGAGGACATAGTTTAGGATTTATGGGCCACAAGTGAAGTGGCAGGTTAATAGCTGGACTTGATGATCTTAGAAGTCTCTTCCAACCTTGATCATTCTATGACTCTATGAGACCAATCAATTTATGCACCACTGTCTGCAGCAACTCCAGAGCCACAAGGATTTCAGAAGGGGTTTCTTCTATTTGTCATGCAGTACATCCCACCCTCCTTACCCTTTCTCTCTACAATGCCAAGGTAAAGCAATTTACCAGCACAAGCACACTAACACAGAAGTTACATTTCAAAAGCCATAAGACACTTTTTAAAATTTTTTTTTTTAACATGAAGTATTTTTTAAGTCTTTATTTTCTTTGAATTTTGACCAACTGACTTTAAAACATAAGATCTTTCCTATACTGCTGAGGACAAGAAATGTCCTTCCCTTTAATTAATTTTTGCTCCGGGAAATTGAGCTCCAAGGAAAAAAGATCACAATATCATTAGATATCAAAACCTAGGAAAAAAAGGAAGCTTCCTTTGACTGAGAGTATTAGGCACAAGTTAGTGAAGAGGAAAGAAAGATGAAAAAGAGAATCTAATTCATGCTTTGTCCTCAGCCCTGCAATCTCCTAAAGTAGGCCAGCTGCGCTGTATATACAGAGCTGAGACAAAACATGTCACTGGGTATTTACTACCTATGATCATTTAAGCCTTTATGAATTTCAAAAGCCTCTCTGAGTATTTTGAGTAAAGGAAGAAAATCCTGGTTGTATCAAAACAGTCAAATAAATTATAAGGTTGAAAGGCAAACTATTGTCTGGTAACCACTGACTTTTGCCAAAACAATGTGCCTATTCATTTTCTTTTGACTAATAAGAAAGAGTTTAAGAAAAAATAAATGATTTCTCAGCCTAATATCTTTCAAATCTGTCAGGCAGAATATTATCTCATTAATTCCATTGTGAAGTGTATATGTTACTGAACTTGAGAAAAATCCAAAGGAATTATCTGCCAAATCTTTCACAGTTCCTGTGGCACAATAGCTGAAAAAAAAAAGTTTGCATTTATACTTCAATGTTGATTTTTTATAGAACTTAACAAATCAATTACTACTTACATCTTCCAGATCTTCTTCTGGGGTTGCTGGTGTCCTGTCCGTTTTATCTGTGTTGTATGAAGTTACAGATGATGTTTCTGAATCAAGAGATTCCTCATCAAATCCAAAAAATGTCTCTACAACATGCCTCTGAAAAACCAGGATATTTTTAGTTACCAGCAAAAGAGTTGGAAATCCCCAATGACCGAGTAAGCATTAGCCAAGGTCTTCTATGACCATTTTAGTATTCAAGTGGAAAAAAGGTTCCATTGTAAACTCTTGTTCTCTCACTAAACGAGTTAACTTTTCAACATAATTTGTGGCAGAACCTCCAAGAACTGAACTGCACATAGCTCTGGGTAACTGCAAATACAATAATGCTTTAGCAAAAGTCTAAAAGCTAATTACCAGAATCACACAGATCTTACAAGACTCACAGCAGAAGAATAAAATAGCTATTCAGAAGAAAGCAAACCAGTATGATGTAACATATAAGATGAGTAACCAAAAGGAAAAAAATTATTCTGAAGACTAATATGGAACAAATTTAATTTTTCATATAAACTGTACAGAAAAAAAGAAGAAAAAAGATCAATTTATAATACCTATTTTGCAAAACCCTACTCAAAAGTATAAATTACTGCTTGCCATTTATTTTTTTTAATACCATTATTCTCAATTTCTTCAACAAGTTTGCTCTAATATTATGCCTAACCAGAAGGACATGCCTAGGGGAAACTAGCATTTCCATGCAGATGTTAAAAATTTTACACAATGGTATTAAGTAAATGCATCCTTACAAAAAGTTCAAGAAAATGAGTAGTCAATGGAACTGAATTATACAATATTGATTGAGAAAAATGAGATATTTTATATAGCACATCACAATTGCAATAATTCTTTCACCATTTAAAGGGATCCCCTTTCCATCAGCCTCCTAACAAATGCTCAGAAAGCAGCAAATTTCCATGGAAATTCCACTGTTTAAAAAAAAAATCACTTATACATTTAGCTAGAAAAAAAGTTTTTCAAGTAATTTTCCTTCCAGAATAACGAACATTAACTGTTATTAATCCATAGAAAACAGAGTATTTACACCACACAACATTCTAAAAATCCAACGTAATTTCAGAGAAGCAAGAAATACTTTGAAAAGGTTGTTGCTGGAAAGATGGAGTCAGGTTATGAAGCATCCTAGACAAGGAGGCTATTGGAGAGATGTGACTGTAAGAAGATGAAGAAAGATCTGTCTACCCATCTCTGTATTTTTTGCCACTGCTTGATGCTGAATCACAGACCTTAATGTCACAGCCTGTTGTTTGTTTAAGAAATATAAACCACAGGTTGTTTGTGAGAAGATAATAGCTTTTTCATTAAAAAAGCCCAAAGGATGAAAAAGTTATCAATTGTTATTAATTCCAAATATCATGAATCCTACATTTCAGCAAAGACAAACTGGCTAAGCTATCAAATTAATTCAAGATACTGTAACATTTTATCTATAATGCCCTAACTCACGATGAATCCAAAGTATTTACCTTTCCCTGCAGCCTTCTAGACTTATCTAACTTTAGAGACTTTTTCAGCATATCTACATAAGTACAGTCTTCACTTTCTCACAAAGCCTCATAATGCTTACTCTGTTCTTTTGGCTCAGCACAGCTCTCATCAACGGTCAAAATATTCTCTCTTGATTTAAGTGGCACCATAAAATCAAGGTTGTAGCTGTGCCTTCGTGCCTGCATGCATGACACCTCGTGTTCCACTTGCAGTCTGCAGTCCAGGTCGCCACGGGCCACCAGGTCACAGCCTCATCACTTGTGAACTGAACTCCATAATAGTTTCACAGTACAGCTAATCCCACTCAAAGAGCCAAAGACAGCTCCAAGGCCACGTCCTGAATCACTTAATTGCTTCACTTAAGATGAGCCCTTCCAACAGCTTAAAAAAAATCATTAAGACTGCATAGTTAAATCAACCGATTCCACTAAAATCTGTTTGGAAAGTTGCTATGCACACAAAAAACCTCACAAAACCCCCAAAAGCTACACCTTTTCCAAACAGACTATGCTTATCCATACGCATACAGATATATATGATGCAGCACAAAAGGCAAAGAGCTTCTCAACAACCTTTAGAAACAACTTTTTGCAGGCTACTAGACCACTACTTCGTGTATTCACGTGAAAAGGATCACAGTTACAGTGCTGCAAAGGCACATTACACTTCTCTCAGCTGTTTAGGAAGCACTGTGGTCCTTTCACAGGCAGAGCAATGTCTAAGGTGCTTAAGACAAACAATTCCCTGAGATAATTCAATCCTTTCCTCCAGCATTCCCAGTTTGTTCACCATTCTGTCCTACTTAACAAAACAATGCATACAGGGAATAGATTTAAGCTCTGTTCTAAAAACAAAAACTTTTCCAGAAAGCTGCTGTGTTCTCTCACACTTGAACTACAAACATTTCAGACTTCTCTTTCATAAGGACAAAGGTTTAGCACAAAAACTGAGGTGTAATTAGTCCCTGGGAGATGGCCCATCCAACATTTCTTCCACACTGAATACTGGTTGGAGCCTTCAACCATCTAACAGTAATACTACAAATAAATATTGGAAGTTGAAGATAAGGCTAAAGAAATGCTGCTGCCTTCAAGTTGTAAGAAATACAGATTCACAATTTGAGTTGCCAGCTCAACTCACTAGCAAGGACTCCTTTCTGACTCTGATCTGATGTACAGATAGTTTTATACAGATGAAGGTAGATTTGTGGAGGTAAAGATGATGGTGGCAAGTAAACAAAACCCAAGAGACTTCCATGAAAACCACATCCTCACTTTGCAGTGCAGATATGTTTTACTTGAAGATGCTGAGAGCAAACCCAGAACAAAGCTGCGTATACAGACGTTTCTGCCAATACTTTTGTATCCTGCTCTTCTGCCTATAGCTGCTTGGCTGTGGATGGGCTCAGAACAACCACCATGAGCTTTGGAGGAACCTAGCCAAGGACAAACAACTCAGATGACTGAAAAACAGCTGACACTGCTCATGCCTCCTGCTTTAAGGGTGTTTGGCCTCAAAAATGCCAAACGCACTTGAGTAAAGCTCAACCACAACCCACAATGAATTATTGTCTTAAGGACAGACAAAGTAAGTAAGTGTCAAGTCTTGACTTTGAAAAAGGTGGTAGAAAGGACTTATAAAAGATGGAGAACAAAACTCCAATTGATTGCCATATACATGGCACAGAGAACAGCCAGCAGCAGCTTAGGCAAGACTGACAATAAGACTCACCATACCTATGGGTTTGGGTGTTTTTTTCCCCATACTCCTGCTATATAGGCACTTTTAGACAACTCAGGTTAAGTATATGTCTTCCTGTAATCCTGCACACACACCCCCACAAGTGCCATTTCAAGGAGTGAAAATCAAATAGCAAAACAACAGTGGCTTTGAGAAGATACTGGAATCAATGCCATTATTCTGACAAAAGATACTAGTTGTGTTTAAACATTTCACTAGTAGCAAAAGTAGGGGAAAATAATTTGTATATATCAATAAATAATTCACTTGATTATTAGATTTGAGAAAAAATTAGTATTTCCCATCACGCCAAAAAACCCCAACATTTAAAGGAGAGTTAAAAGTCAAAAAGTGTTAAATGCTACACAGACTGCCTGTAATATTTAGAGCTACGAGTGAACCACTTATTTTTAATGACTCCTTCCTTTTTACAGAAGCTGTGCATTTATCACTTTGTGGAGCAGACACTTTCCATAGCAATAGAGACAAGGAATTTAGTCATTGTGTATTATTTGCACATGTATGAATTGCTGCATGACAGAATTACAAAATAGTAGGTTTTACTGTTAATAATCTAGTACCTGAAACAACTAGCTACAAAAAATGATTCACAGCAAAACCAAAACAAATTAACTGGCAAGGGAACAGCTATAGAGAAAAGGAAAAGATGAAAAAAAAAAGACATCTGAGTCATACAGTTGTTGATAAACACTGTAATAAATAATAAGGCATAAATAAAATAACAAACCTCAAGGGAAGATCTACACGTGGCTCAAAAGCTGAATCACAATGGTTTTTGAAAAAAGATATAGAAATGCTCACTGTATTTTTGTAACTGTACACTATGTCCATTCAAGTTTCATTCAAGCTTTTCTTAAAAAGGGGAACATTCTCAATTAACAATTTAGAGATGCTTTTTATTCATTTGTATATTTGTTATGTCTAAATCAGCTTTTTAACTGAGAAAACAGGTATGTAAATTGCTGAAAACTCTGATTTGAATTCTAATTTCCATTGACTACTGCCATGCATTTAACAGCAAGCATTTTTCATGTGGATTTATATCAAATGTTTTCACATCATTTTAAAGTAAAATTCTAAATTATGCACTAGGTTTTTATAACTCAGGTACTAATGCTTCTACTGAAGTATGGCACTCAGTTTACAATGCTATAAATCAATAGTGAAACACAGACTACATTATATGCAAATTTCAATATAATCTGATTTATCTTCTGCTGAAGTAGTTGCATTTGACATTCAAATATCTCATTTTCAAGTACTTAATCGAACATGATGAATATGATCCAAGATGCATTTCCCTGTAATGCAATCAGATGTGGCAATCAGTAACTTCTTACCTTCATGCTTATATGTCATTTCTTGGCAGCCAGAAAAATACAGGCACACCAAAGAACAGAGGCAGAGAAAAAAAGAAAAATATAAAACCAGGAATATGAACTCCATCACAGCAGTGTGCAGGCTTTCCACTGCCATGAAAACAGTGTCTTTATTAAAGTTTAAATAAAGACACAAATCCATAGAGTCCTGCAGTTTCCAAACAAGCCAGGCAATTAGGTCCTCTTTTCAAATGCATGACTCCAGCAGTCATGGAATCACTATAACTCTATTCTAGGTGTGTCAAAAATACACAAAACTTCCAAAATACTATTGCTGAAGTGACTCTTATTTCCCCACAAAAATTGGGTGGGGGTAAGGGGAAAGCATCTTGGGG